CCAACGAACCGTCTTGCAAATTGTTATTCTTCTTCAGGCTTAGTTTGAGCCACATAAGTCAATTACTCCTAGTAGACAATAAGATATATCCAGTGGCCATTTTGTTGCTCCATTGTAGTGGTCCACTAGTTCAGCCATGGACCATGAAACAAGCAGAACATGCGGATCAGAGCATTGAGAAATTCCATCCAATACTCAAAATTATTTGAAACACTCAAATATAACTAAACGTCTAAAGCCACAACACAAGAGGAGTGTGATCACATCTTCTATGATGAAACCCCGAATTAAAACTTGACGTGGTGGTCGGGCTTGGGTGCTGCAATGATCCTGCGAGCTACACTGGCTGGAACTTCGTTCCACAAGGTGCAACCATGCCAGGAAAGCCAAAGGGGAGCAGTCAGAACAAGAGCAGCGAGACCCGGTACTACGAGTAATTGTACTACAAAGTGGTCTGGGGGTAAAGTCGTACTGTCCTCTGCGACAGAAGCGTGAAGGCAGTAAGGTGTTTCCTCCAGGAGACCAGCATGTCCATATTTATGGAGAAGGCGATACTATCTTCCACCGGGGAAGGACGGGTTAGAAAAGGTCGGCCCCAAAAACTGCACACTCCGATCGCCCAGCGGTTAACCGTGACCGCCGGCGCATTATCCAATACGTTCGAAATACTTTTAAAACCAATGAGCCCGGTGCTGCTCAAGAGGCACCCGCTGTGCGCAGCCTCATCAGGAATGAGAAGGTAACGACTTATTCCCTGCGTCCTCAGGTTAGGTCATTCCCCTGCAGCAGAGCAGGTCAGACTGTTGAGTCGTCGGCTCAGGGCGGGCTCCCCAAAGAAAATCCGATATTCTCCCACTGCCTTGTGGGTCAGACTTTTGAGTCAGAGGCTAGAGCCATGGTCCCCGAACAAAACCCTACATGCATCCACTGCCTTTTGGATCAGACTTCTGAGTCAAAGGCTCAAGGTGGGGTGCCTCAACCAAGCCCCTTCCTCGGCTTGGGCAACCGGGTAGTATCATTTGCCCGCGCAGTTCAGCCCCCAGCGCTGTCACTACCCAATCCCTTCCCACTGCACAAGCAAACGTCGCTGGGCCATTTGACTCCCAGCCATCTGACTGAAGAGCCTTATGCTCCTCGGGGCCTATAAATATCAAACAAGATGACACCTTTCTATATAGGAGCTTTTAACGTCTGCACTTTATGTCAAATTGGCAAACAGGCAATGTTCTGAAAACGTGTACTCTCTTAAAATCGATGTATGTTGTGAAAACCACCATGGGATCAGCCTGTTAGCTGTGGCATCAAAGGTGCTATCTGGCCTTATCCTTCGGAGGCTGACTGCATAGAGAGAGAGAGGCCGGTCCGTGAAAACAAAGCTGGGTTCCTTCCTACAATAGGTTGCATCGATCATATCTTTACCCTCCGACAGATTCTGGAACAACGACACTGCTTTCAGCAACCAATAATAGTTGTGTTCCTTGATTTGAAAGGTGCCTTTGACTCTGTGGACCGCCAAGCACTATGGCAGTGTCTGTAGAGCAAAGGTGTCCCCCATAAATTCTTGACCCTCATTAAGGCTCTATACGCCAACTCACTCGGCCATGTAAAGGTCCATGGAAAGCTCTCTCTTGAGTTCACCACATCAAGTGGTGTCCGACATAACTGTCCTCTTTCACCTCGATAGGTGAACTGATCACACTGCATCGGTTGCGCTAGCTTCACCACGTGCTGCGTATGCCAGTCGACCGACTTCATCGAAGGTCTCTTTTTGCACAAACACGTGCAGAGTGAAAGAGAGCCAGAGGCGGTCAAACAATGACTTGGCAGCGAAGTACGAAAGTCAATACCAGCAAACTCAGCTGCGCTGGTCACTGCCATCTTCCTGGATGGGGACCCCGAGATGGGCCACATAAATGGCTAGGGACATTGTCAGGCATGGTCTAATGGCGCCCGCAATGGCAGTCATGCGTCCAAGCTATTGCCTTCAATACATAGCTCCATTTCCAACCCCTCTCTCACTTAAGAGCTCACTGACAGTACCGAATTTATGCACTAATTTATCATCTCCCGCCCTCAGTGCACAGCTACCTCCCCCCCCCAAATAATCGATGGACGAAACTTCGGCAGCTACATCCACTGTACGACGAGTACGCGGTTATTGCAGCTGACATGATGATGCTATGATCAAACACTCTGTAATGGAGAATGATTTGCGATGGTGTTTTGTTCAAGCACATCCAGTAGTTTGCGCTCATCCAATACAAGAACAGTTAGAGAATTAAAACTGAACCCTTGAGCGCGACGTTTGTGGGAGCGCTTGTGTTTCCTTGCTAGAAAGTTTGATAACCGTGGAGCTAGCCAAATTCTGTGACTGTGGAGTAAAATGAAACCCAGTAAAGAAGGACTTTTCTCGAGTCGCGACGCTTGCGATAAAACGGATGAAACTGTGTCGTGAGAAATCGTAACTGCCGACTGCTCCTTACTGCAGCCAAAACACCATAAACTTTGAAGCCCACATATAATCGGCACAGAATCCCAAGCACCAACGGTGGAAATCATTATGGAAGCAAATTTTCACTCAACAGCTTGTCAACTTGTAATATGAAGAATCCCGCCTCAAGTAAGTGCGCAACAATATGTCCCGGCTTTTTCTTGGTCCCTTCTAATATGCTTACAAAGCCTTCACATAATTTCCGGAGATCTTTCTTATATGGACTACATTCTGTTGTGGGTATCAACTCGTTCAGTTTATTTAAAACCTGGTCCGGTATCTTAGTTCCAATGCATTTACAGGGCACAACTTGCTTTTGGAAGAAATAACTATTAATTGCTTGGAAAGTTTAGAATGTATGTTGTGTTATGGCGACCGAGTATTAGTGTAACAACCTCGACAAAGTTGGCTGAATTTGGAATCTGCAAAGGGTTTTGTCACCAGAGGTGGGTGGAATGGAACAGCCTGGAGTAAGCAGCTGGGTAAAAAAGCTGCCAGACTCAATCTCATCAGGCCGTTTTATTTAAGACTAGGTGGGAAATCATTTTTTTCGTCCCTGTTGGTGGAATATCAGATACCACGTACTTCAGAATACAAAGTATATAAACAGGAAAATATGGAAAAGCCATGTTACGCTAGCTTGGAGCTGTGTTTCCTTCTGTCTCTTATATAAATATAACCGCTCGCTCCCAGTGAACTAGTCAGGAAAATAATAGAGGTGCCGTGGGTTTATGCATATTTGCAAGAAGCCCTGAAGGATCAGAACACAGCAGCCGATCGGAAAGCAGATCAGAAATCATGAAATGATTACAAACTTTGCTGCTTCCACAATTCAGGGCTCTCGAACATGATGAGCAAGAAGAAAACTGCGTCACTGGCCGATCCTTTTTGTTTGTAGCCAAACTTATGTGTTATCAGGGGTATTAGCCTCACCTGTACAAATGAGCAAGTTGTCTGCATTAACCATGAGGAAGGAACTTTAGTAGAGGGTGAACACTTGAGTGACACAATCTTCGGTGATGAAACTAGAGGACGCAGTTAAAAAGTTGGAACGTTCGTGACAGCATGCCCTTGATGGAGTTATTCGAACCTGAAAGTGACACCTCGACATATCTATAGACTGTTGGGAGGTTCTTCGGTATGATGATGGATACCACAATGAATGACTTCTTCCATTTTACTTGCTCCGGTAGTGTGCGAAAGGTTTGTAGCACTGGTAAACTGCTCTTTTTCATGCTCAGTATCATCTTTTTCCCATCATTATCAGTCACATCGCTCTACAAAAGCTTGTTTTACTGGGAAAAAACCGCTACCGCCCGCTCGTTGGCTCCAACGTGACTTTGAGACTTTTGCTGAGTGACTGTTGTTGTGACCACCGGTTGGCTATATTTGACCGCTGCTAACAGTAAACGTGAACAAACATTTCAGCTACAAGCACCGGACTAACATATTCACACTTGTTGATTAATATTTCGATCACCGGAGATCTGGAATACCAGGAAGACAGAACTATTCTTGGTGTGGTGGTTCAACGGAATACGGAACTACGGAATCTCCTATTTTGAACTGTGAGTCAAGATTTACTTGGATTTTTCTCCTTGTGACTTTGTATCTGGCTTACATCAGTAATTTGTTCCGTTTACTAAAGACTCCATAGGGCCGTTAACCACTACAGGTTAAGTCAATCGATTTCTCCCATGGAAAATTGCGCCCGTATTTTCATACCCGAGAAATCTGTAGATATACATATATATCTTTCGGATGTATTCACCGTTTGGCTGACAGATAAACTCTGTAATGATATCATTTATGAAGATCGATTTGATTGGGGACGAAACAGTGCTCCAACGGTGATGTGTCTACATTATTGTAGATTATTATCAATACCATAATTATTTGATTTTTAATTCCTGTGACCTGTGAGTTCATGAAATCCAAAGTAGGATTTCAGTAGCAAGTTTAGCTTTAGTTGGTTTGCGAGCGCTGCAACAACGTTTTTCCCATTTGCACTCCGTCCTTCCTGAGGTGCCATGTTCTTTTAAATGTAATTCCCTGGACCTTACACAGTTAACGGATTCACGCATTGATGCACAGGATCAAGGCTTTTGCCCAAGTTTCCGGGGTCAGCTTTGTTCTTGTCGGCACAGTAATTGTCGTTCACTTGAAAGGCACAAGTGAAAAAAGGGTGTAGCACTGCTCTTTATTCACTTGTGCCTACATGAGTGAAACTATTGAAAAATTCTAATAATGCATAGCATACCTATCAAATTCTGACACCTAAATTTATGGAATGCTGAATTCCGAAATTTTTCAGATCTTGTAACAATGTTGCAATCAGCAAAACGAAGATATTTTACAATTCCAGCTCGTGCCATCACGTTACTACGGTGATAGTGGCTCTGTTGATATGCTTAAACAAAATGGTTTTAATTCCGAGACACAAAATCGAGGGTTTCGATCAAGTTTCACGGTTCGGTTTTGTTCTTGCCCTTCAGCGACTGCCGCTCACCTGAAAAGCATATGCGGAAAAAGGGTGTTCCAATGCCATTGAAATTCTCAGCGCTGGACAACAAGCTAACCAGCACCGGGGCTCGCATATAAAGCGTCTAATGGTGCTTTGAACTGGGTTCCAGATGCAGCGTGGACAACTGTCGGGAGAAGGTCGTCCCACACACCAACTGCAAGAAATGAGGGGAAAATTCTGCCTGATAAAAGTGTGCATTCTGAGCTGTGTGCTTGCTGAGTCAGTGGTGAAAATCCTGCTGAAAAACATTCTGCAAACAGAGCTTAATAATTATTTAGTATCAACGTACGCCATGACATCACAGGATGAGTAGGTAAAGCACCATGAGAAGCGTTCATAGCCCAATGCTTTGAGGCCGGTAACCATTTTCATGGCAGCTCGCTGGGCGTGCCCAATGA